CTAAAAGAGAATTTGACAACTAGACAAATTATTTGGGTATTAAAGTTTCTTGACCATTAGTTGTTCTTTTTGCTTCACCTAACTAAAACAAATGAAACAGGATATTAGTACCAATACCCCCTGTGGGGAGGTAATTAATGAATGTCCTGTCTCTGTTTTGGGAGATTGTGTAGGAGGCCTACATGACACAGGAATAGCCAGGTACTTTGGGATGATTGATATGTTGGCTAAGAGTATAAAAGACTGTAAACAACTGCCCTTCCGGGTTCAGATTTTGCTTGACCAATCGCTACTGAACCTTTGCGCAATAAACCTTTCCCTCTGACAAAGAGCCGGTCTTGTCTTGTTTTCTACTACAGGGAAAAATTGAATTGAATTGAATTGAATTGAATTTTATTATTTGTATGCCACCCTTCTCCAGGAAGGACTCAAACAATTCAAAAAGGGAAAAGGGGGAACATAGAACAGAATACAGATAATTAAAATAAGCAAGAATCACGCAACCATACAAGTCGAGAGGGGAGGGGAACTCATCAACCCCAGGCCTGCTGGCACAGCCAGGTTTTGACGGCTTTTCGGAAGGCCTGGAGAGAGGTGAGGGTCCGAATCCCTGCGGGGAGTTCGTTCCAGAGGGCCGGAGCTACGAGGCAAGTGCAGGGCCCTCGTGGAGGTGCGGGGAGAGGGAAAAATGGGCCTTCCGGACGTTCCAGAAGGCTAGAAATGGGCCTGTTTCTGGCCTCCGGAGGGCCTCTGGAGCCCGGGAGAGGACGTTTTCGCCCTCCCAGAGACTCAAGGAAAGCCTCCGGAGCCTGGGGAAGGTGAAAATGTCCCCCCTCCACCACCGTGGTACAGGAGGCCGACTAGGCCCTGGGTACCATGGTGATGCCCACCCAGCAACCAGGAAGAGAAACCGTTGCTGACATTTTTGAAGCCTACCCCTGGCTAAAAGTGTTTCCTAATTTAGGAAGCCTGGTCGTATCATTGCAACATTAAGCCCTGCAACTTCTGATTCTTGCCTCCCTCTCTTCCCAGCACGAGGGTCTTTGTAGTGGAAGCACTACTGGCTGTGATCCTAAAGACGAGCAGCGTGCAGCCCTGAACAAGATCTCCGCTCTTGAAAACCGGCTCAAGGAGCTGCATCATCGGAAGAAAGAGCTGAATATAGAGGTACACCTTAGCTTACTCAGTCCCCTCCCTGCATCACGAGGTTGTTGATTGGACAACAATCAGCACCTGTAAAACCAGTGTTGAGAGGCCCACACCCAAGCAATTGAGGAAGAACAGATTCAACTTTTGGAAGGAGGACGGAGAGAGAGATTTGTTTGCTCCCTTGGACAGGAAATCTCCATCACCCAACGCCGAAGGTGCTCCCCTCAGTGCAGGGAGGCCATTTTCTGGGCCGGAAGTGTGGACGTTTGCATGCCCGGATTCTCCCAGTTCCCGTTTTGTAGGCTTCGCTTTGGGCCTCTGCACCTCCCCGTGGTTGTGTTGACATTGCGTCAGTCAGCACACATCGGGGCACGTCAAGATGTTTTGGCAACGTTCCCCTGACCTGTCTCCTCCTCTTCTTGGCAGATGGACCTGGAAGGTGCCTTGTTAGAAGGGGAACTGCAGGAAGAGAGGCAGGAGCTACGGCAAGAGGAGGAACGGCTGCTGGAGCTGAAAGAACGCCTCGCGGAGACAGAGCTCAGGTGCCGGGAAGAACGCGAGAAGGTGAGCAACTGCTCTTCAGCAGTTTTCTCATGATTTACCCCCACCCACCCTCCCAAAATTCTCTAGTTGCAGCGTCAGTTCTGGACTGGATCAGGACACCTGAAGCAGATCATAGCTTGTCCTCTTCCAATCCCTTAAGCAGAGACCAGTTGAATTGATGGTCTTGCTTCAGCCCGTGTTGAAGGACAGGATAGTTGCCCCAAAGAGACAGGCGAGGAGGTGAAATGCCCATAGCTTAATCCCCTAGCACCATCCCTGAGCGTGGACTGTTTAAAACAGCTGCCTCCCTTCCTTTAACTTACGCCTGGCTTGCGAGTACTGTATTTATTCCTTTGTGTTGGGTTTCAGTAATAGGTCCCTCAGAGCTCTCCAGCTACCGGTGGATGAAATACAACCCGTAGCCGCACAGCTCCTATCCCGCCTTCCCTCTGGGGCTCAGGAGGTGTAAATTAAAAGCAAAGAGGCTGGTGGTTTTAAAAAATGAGCAAAGTTATTTCTACTGAATTCCCATGCTGTCTGGGGAGAGTGGGCCTCCACTCCTCTGGAGGACTTTAGAGTGCTGGAAGCGAAGGACTTTGTTTTGTGGTTTCTGTATCTCTCTCGAAGGGTCATTGTCCAGCTGGACTGAACGTTAACCCTTTTTTTATGCTCTAACAATCCCCGTTGATCTCTTCTCCAGGCCTGTTTGTTTTTCTTCCCTTCCTTCTTGAATTCCACCCTTTGGCTTCCTTAAATTTCCTCTTATCAGAAGGTCTGTTGATATTTTGCCTCTGTCCTCATAACTTCCCGGACAAATGGCTAGTCAAAACTTTGCAGGCAAATGTCCAGTTTTGGACTCAACCGGAATGGCAGGAGGATGCCTGCATGGGCAGGAAGAGAACTAGAAAGACTTCGAGATCTTTTCAGATCTTACAATTTTGTAATTTAATGATCTCATAAAAGTCACTGCCATGGTTGCAGGCGTGATAGTGTGTTCTTCATCACAGCTCTATAAGCAACAGCAATAGCATATAGCAGGGGTGTCATTGGATTTCAGGATTTCATTGAGGGCCGCACTAGGGTTGTGTTGTACCTGGGGGGGGGCAGTGGGCATGGCCAGCTTGATGTCCCTCATGTTGGAGGGCTCTGTCGGTGGCTTGAGCTCTTCGATAGCGAAAACGGGCTCCCGAGCTCCGTTTTTGGCTGGGACAACCTCCTGCAATCCTCTGCCAGTGAAAACAGTGTGCGTGTGTGTGTGGGGTGGAATGTGTGGCCCTCATGAACTCTGTTTTCAGCTGGGACAGTCTCCTGCAACCCTCTGCCAGTGAAAATGGAGCTCGGGGGGGGGGTCCGTGTGGCCCTCCCAAGCTCCATTTTTGCTGGCGGACGCACCGGGGGTGGTCCTTCGCTGTTACCAGGGCAGCCCCAAGGGCTAGATCTTAGCACCCCAAGGGGCAGATCCAGCCCACGGGCTTGCCCATTGCTTGTGCGTCCCATTTCCAAATGGGCCACGGTCTGGTACTGGACCGCGACCCAGGTGTTAGGGACCCCTGCGCTACAACATTCCTTGGATGATTTACAATGTAAACATTATTTGCCCCTAACAATCTTAAGTCCTCATTTTACCGACCTCAGAAGGATGGAAGGCTGAGTCAACCTTGAACCCCATCAGGAACCAAACTCCAGGCTGTGGGCAGAGTTGGCCTGCAATACTCCATTCTAACCACTGCACCACCAGGGCTTCTCTAGTGGTGAATCCCACCAGACAGACCAAAGTTCAATTCCATAGGGAGGCTAAATTTAGTTTTATTGAGAGAAGCTACAATAATAACAACCATTCAAGTTTGGTTGTGCTCTATCTCCTCCTTTTACACTCATGTAAATTAGGGAGGTGTCCATCTGAGTCTCTTCCGCATATTTCTGTTTGTTTTGAACTTAACGTATGTCTTTCCTTTGTTGCCTTGGTACATAGCTCACATATCTCGCGTCAAGGTCATCTCTCTTACTCTCTGCAATAGCGTCCATCACAATCTAAGCTTTAAAGAGCAAATAGAAAACGCAGCTGAGGATTCTGGCTTCTTAAGGCCTCCCAACTCACCCATTCAGTTATTCATCCATCTCCCCCGTTTATGTTTCCTTTCTCTCATTTTGCATGTTATAAATATGCAAACTAGCTTGGCGAAGGTAGAGAGATGAATAAAACAAGAGGGCGCGAGCGCCATGAAGTTAGTTAGTTAGAAATTTTAATGTCTTTCTCCGGCAAAAACAGGTGCGATGGAATATGCATCTGGAGAAGGAGAGAGTGTGTGCGTCTGTGTGTGTGTGTGTGTGTGTGTGTGTGTGTGTGTGTGTGTGTGTGTGTGTGAATGGCAGCAATAGCATTGCAGCTTCTGAGGGAGGAGGCAGCACATTCCAGAGAGGGTTCAAAGGCAAGAAACTGCACAGTCCTGAACTTTTTGGCGGTGGAAAGAAAAAAATTCAGGTAATCAGAATCTCCCACGGTATATCTATTAGGTTAGAGGGTTATAACTTTAGTCTGGCAAGAATCTGTCTATTAGATGTAAAAAGATAAGAAACTGCACTCGAACTGCACTCATCGTGTTATCTTTGGGCTTAGGCCTGACAACATGACAGGAACAGGGAAACGCCAGACTCCACCAAGAGTCTATCAAGTCCAGCGCCACCTAGTGACCAAACTATGGAATGATAGTATCCATACAATGAGGAAACCTTGTGGATCAATTCTATTCTGCTGCTTTCTTCAACAACATATTTATCAATTGCTAGTATTACTTTCCATAGGATTCTGGGACCATCCCCGATCTTATGAGTCATGCAAAATGATGTATTTTCTCTATGGTCATCTCCACAGGGGGAAGGAGGGAGGGAAGGAAGGAAGAGGGAGGGAAGGAAGGAAGGAAGGAAGGAAGAAAGGAAAGAAAAAAGAAAGAAAGAAAAGGAGGGAGGGAGGAAGGAAGAAGGAGGGAAGGAAGGAAGGAAGAAAGGAAGAAAGAACGAACATAAAATAAAAGATAAGATTAGGGGATATAAAAACACACTTGCCTGCCCTCCTGAAAATCTATGCTTATTCAAACAAACTATTCATTTTATTCAATTTGTATTGTTAGTTTAAATAATGTTAAACTCAATGGACCATGTAGGAATGAGGAACACATTATCCTCCAGATGGCGATCAGTTACAATTCTCAGATTCTTCCATCCTGGGATAAATAGTCCAACTAATGAAATGTCAGCTTTTCCCGTTTCTAGCAATCTTTTTATTCTGCTTGCAGCCAATGTGAGAAAAAGGCAGAAAAGATATACAGGACAAAGTCCCTGTTTTTTCGGACATTGCTTGAATTGTTCATGCTTTCTCCCAGAATCCTTTCCCCTGTCCCCTTTACTGACCAGTCCTTTCTGACTTCCACCTGCCCAAACCTTTGATTTGAGGAAGAAGACACACATTGATGGCGGTCCTTTCTGGCGAATTCCACAGAAATAGAAAGCAGGAATCTTA